AAAAAAAAAAAAAAAAAAAAAAAAAAAAATAGGCTGGCAAGATATCTTCTTCATTCGATAGGTTTAGAATAGGGCGCATTTGTAAAAGGACGATCTATTTTTGAAAACATCCCAGATATATTGCAAGCTTTGGAGATAATCAGCGCCGAAGAACATGATGTGGCGATCATCCCCCTGGATATGGAGAAAGCCTACGACAAGGAACAGCCATTTCGTCAAAACAGACATATTATATTTTTTGAACGAAATTAAAATTGAGTTTTTGGGCCGAAATCCGGTCCAAAATTTTGGCTCCTGGGGTTCCGGCGTTCACCCCCTAGATGTATCTAGTCTCAAGCTGAGACCAGATACATCTAGGGGGTCTAGCGTTCTAGGGACGCCGGACCCCCAGGAGCCAAAAAATTGGACCAGATTTCGGCCCAAAAACTTAATTTGTTTTTCGTTCAAAAAATATAATATGTCCGTTTTGACGAAATGCCTGTTAAGGTGGGATGGACATTCGTAGCCCACCACCTTGTCGCATATGGGTTTTGGCTCAGTGTTCTGCAATGTGGTGCAGGCGATGTATTCACTGACAGGCGCTTCGGCTATGGTGAATGTCAACGGTTGTTTGTCGAAATCCTTTCAGTTAACCCGCTCCCTTCGTCAAGGTTGCCCTCTAACCTATGTATCACCCACGGTCATGACCGCGGGCCATTTTACCGCACGCCGTCATGGTCATGCCTGCAGGGGGCAGCCGTGCGGGCCAACCACGGCAAAAAAAACCCGTGATTTAAAAAAAAATAGAATAATGGGCCAAAAAAAAAATAAATTATGGGGCTGTAGGGTTAGAAATTCCCTTAAGGAGGGGGCTGTATTGAGGGGGTAGGATGATATGATGGAGGGGAAGGACGCGCTCTGTGGGAAAGGGCTAACTGCAGAGTGGAATTAGGGCACAACAGCAGATGAGTCTTGCCGGAGTAAGGTTGGATAGGTGTAGACAACAGCGATTTCGTCAAAACGGACATTTTATATTTTTTGAACGAAATTGGAATTGTCATTTTTGAGATGATTGAAGTGCAAAAACCATTACAAATGGGCATTTTGGTGTGAGGGGTAAGGGGTAAGGTATAAGGGGTAAGGTGTAAGGTGTAAGGGGTAAGGTGTAAGGGGTAAGGTGTAAGGTGTAAGGTGTATGGGGTAAGGTGTAAGGTGTAAGGTACCATGCAAGGGGCAAGTAACACAGTGCACAAAGGAATAATTAAGACCTTATATACATTGTTTTTTGTCAAGCACCACCTCGTGCCAACCACGTCCGCTCCCTTCGCAATCATACCACATAATATCACGCACACACTACTCACGAGCCACTGTGTCCAATGCCATCCGACGACGTATCGCGGGTATGTCATCTGCGGTGAAACAGAAAGGCGGAAGTAGGCCCCGTGCCAAAAGTGACGCGTACGTGAGTACAAAGACCCCACATTCGTTCGTGTCATGTTGCTTTGGAATGCCCTCTACATTCCATATGTGATTGAATGGTCTCGTGTCCACCTCTTTGCCTTGCAATTTCGATCTTTCGAATAAAAACTTTGCAAACCCGCCGGT